TTTCGAAATTCGCTTAGTTTTCTGCCATAATTATTGAAATTTCATTCGTTGTTCTCTTTCAGTTTTGTCAAACACAAATCGCTCTTTATGTTGTGTTCCCTTACGAAGCGTTTAACGGCGGCCCAAGCTTTCAATAGCACATATATGGAGGTAGTCATATAAAGTCATGGCCATGTTCTTTAATTATATTGTCAATTTTATAATTGCTATGAACGGGTCTGTATTGTTCTATAATTTAAAATAAATCTAGTTTCCTCATTGACCTGTCGCAAGAAATGTTTGTTTTGTTTGTCTTCCAACCATTTTATCATTGCAAATTTTAGCGAATTTTTTATTGAGGGCTTATTTAGCTGGACACTATGGTAAGGTGCGTTATCCATTACGACACTGCGGTCAGGAAGTGAAGGCAAAAGCTTTCAGACTCCCCATTAATCAAAATTGTCGCCATTTATTTGTCCATAGTTGCCTATGATACTATGAGTCTGTTTCTAAAACTAGTATCTGTGAGAATTACTTTTGATCCAATTATTTGCCAACACTTTTTCAAATTTAAATTATTGTCCACCCATGTTTCGTCTAAATAAAGAATATTTCTGTTGTTTTGTCGGCATTCTCGAATTTTCTGACGCCATCTGTAGCTCATTTTATTTCAACGGCTCAAATGTTTGTGGCTATTGATGTATTTTATCATACAGTCTACAATATTCACCAAACTCATGTCTGTTTTAGTTTTAAAACATGAATCCTATTTTAATTTGTATTATATCTTGTGCAAAAAAACTACTCCCTTCTAGACACAAAAGTGCCAATCTAGAAAGTCTCAAAATCCATTTTAGCCCACGCAAAAATAGGCAGAAACCACATATCATGCAGCCGCCTCAACGTGGTATACTACAGCGTCAAGACGCAGCGTCTTGACGCCTCGCGCCTTTGTATGTCACCTCCGCTGCCCGCAGTCGCACTAGTGTGGCCAACGCCTAACATGGCGCCGGTATGCGGGGTGCCCCTCCCCCGCGCCTCAGTTCATACCATGTTCACCAAGTCGACCTTTTGCGTACTATTTCTGTGTGTGAAATCGTTAGCTTATTGTTTCAATTGTTATGTGTGAGTTTCAGTGACAGATAATTGTTTTTGTGTGTGCTAATTTTGTGCCCCGCAAAAAATTACAGGCAGTTTTGTATCGGAAAAAATGCTATGGCTACTCTCTTCCGGTCCGCCGGTGGCACGTGTATAAAATTCTATTATGCATAAAATTTTAAAATTAGTCATAAAATAATTTCTTATTAGATTTAAAAAATGTACTTTAATTTACAGTGCGAAGATTGCCAGTCAACTAAGTGACGAGAGCTGCTTCGGTTTAATATTTGGCATCAACACCTTAATAGGTACAGGACTACAATCAATACTGACAGCGGTCCTTATACAGAGCCTGCAATCGCATATTACTTCACAGTACTATTCTATCAGTGGACTGTTTCTCTTGGCGGCTTCATGTTGGCTCCTCGTTTGGATGGTGTATAATTTTAAACAAAAAAAAAGTATTCATATCAATAATCAGTATTAAGAATGTGAATATGAATAACAAACTATAGTGACTACTACTAAGCGACAGCTATTATTGGTGTGTGGACCGCAAATTTGAAAGGTTGTGGGTACGAACCAGCCATTTGACTATTGTAGTGAACCAGAAGAAGTATTGTAGTGAACCAGTTCCTAACAGAAGCACTTCAAGCTTAAGTGGTTAAAGAAAATATATGTTGATATCATTGCTAGTATTTCATTTTTTTAAATAAAATAAAAGACATAGATTAGTTGTAGAAAATGTGACTGAATTTTGATATTCTGTAATATTTATTGAATAAGAAATAAAAAATAAGAGTGTTTTTGTGTAGCTATAAGAAATGGTTAAGGAATGTAAGTTATTTTGGATAATGGAGGCAGCCTTTTTTTTATTCACAACCTACCTAACAATATAAGAAACTATCCTTATTTGTTTCTTATATTTCATAACCATTGTTTCTTCATTGTTCAGAACCATGTTGTGATTAGATTTTGGTAATGGCTTAACTCAAAATATTAATCTACTTTTTTGACATAATTTAAAATTGAATTTATCAAATAGTTTTTAATATCTACTATTGTTTTATTAAAGAACAGGTGGAAATCCTAAATCTATGACTGAAGTATCTAATACCTACTGCAAACAAACCAAATGAAATCTGTAAACTCTTCTCTATACTGGATGATTTTTTTACCGTCCGGAAAAAATAGGGTGTAAAAAGTGAATGGAATAAAAGCCTAGGGCACTTACAATTTATTTTTATTTTACATTAACATGTTATAAAATTGATCTGTCAATAAATTCTACTAATTGGATACATATTATTTTAATTTCGATACTTCCCAATAGATTCATTTATTTACTTCAAAAATTATTGTTATTTTTTTTGTACGGAAAGTTTATTTCAAATTAGTAGTATTTATTGATAGATCAATTTCATAACATGTTAATGTAAAATAAAAAAAAATTGTAAAATCTCAGCGTCACAGCCTTCTAATCCGTTCACCGGTTACACCCTATATTTTCCTGATGGTAAAAAAATCACTCAGTATATTTGTCCTTGTATTATTTGCCATTCTACCAAAACATCATTCTGTCTTATATATATACACCATTTGAAAATGTGTCGAAGCTGTAGCGTGAATTAGATGCTTTGTTCAAAGGGCTAGATGGAACTCCTACTATACTTAGAAAGATGTATGCGGAAGAGCTTAATTCACCACTGTTTTCATTTTCAATAAATCATTAAGTATAGGTTCTTTCCCAAAAATTTGATAAGATACCTTTAAAATTCCCATTTACAAATCCAAAAACAATATTTTAAAATTATAATCTTATCAGTATACTGTCCTTGTTTGGCTAAGCTTTTCGAAACAATAATATTTTCTTATATAAACAGTTGTGTTAAACATTATGCAGCATGGCTTTATTTCAAATTGGTCAAAACTAAGCAATCTGCTCATTTATAAAAATAACATCAGGTATGCTGTTGGAATTGTACATATGCAGGAGGACTCAGATTGTCTGGTTTTACCCAAAGATCCCATTTAGGGCTGTTATTTTTTATTAATGATTTGGTGGACGTCAGTCTATCTCTCTAATAAAGTAGTCAATGATATGAATGACGCTCCCTAACAAAGATTTTAGGCTTACTTAGAGTGGGTTAATGGAAGTATTAGTAATGTTAATAGTGTTACTAGTATCCTTTTATTTTCAAATTATCAGATTTCATCCCAGAAGTAAGTGTATAATGAATGAGGATTGATAGATAATGTAACAACACTGCAAACAAGTCCCAAATTACCCCAAGAACTAACTCAGTTAACCCCTCAACCCCCTAGCAGTCTCATGAAACCGTGGCCATATTCTGTCAAATCCCTAGCAGTCTCATGAGGTCGCACCTACCCACAGCACTATAACCCACAAAAACCTTTATATAGACTACTTTTCTATGAAGAAGTTTGGCATTATAAAATAAATATGAAATACTCTATCCTCTAGTGCAATAAAAAAACTGTTATCCTATGAATATTTGTTTATAAATCTACGTTCATTTCGTACGCCATTTTCGCGTGAATGTTATTGTATTGATTTTGGATTTTTCTAGTGTTTTATTATAAAATTGTACTGAAAGTTTTTGTGTGAATATAATGTATCTTTTTACGTAAATAATTTCGAGTAATATATATTGAAATAATTGTGATTTTCATGTTACATGTTTTTTTTGTTATCAAAATACAATAAAATCTTTTTGTAATAAAGTAAAATCTGACTTTTGTTTAGATCACAAGATAGAGAATTTTGTATATATTTTATAATGCTAAACTTCTTCATAGAAAAGTAGTCTCTAAATGTAAGTTTTAATGGTTTTAAGTGCTGTGGGTGGGTGCGGTCTCATGCAACTGCTCGGGATTTACTGGGTGCATGCGACTGCATGGGATTTTTATGGTGCTTGAAGGGTTATACATTAGATATATTATAGATTTTTGTGAACATTTTTTATTGTGTGTATTGTTGTGACATAGTGAAATGAAACAGAGGATGTGCAGTAACGTCCAAAGTAATAAATACCTGTGTTTGGTTGCAAACTGCTTGCCAAGCGTGACAAATAACCCCCCTATGAGGCAATGTATGGGAGAGGCCTATAATCAGCATTAGACGTTTGATAGACTTGTAATGTATTTATTTTAATGAATTTCATAAACATAGTATACCATTTTTATATGTTCCGTAAAAACTATATAATTTACAAGAAAAATATATGGTAGAGAAAACAAAAAATATTGTATATCATATACTGCATACTGTTTTGTATTCATGGCTGTGCTTTTAGTCTACCTAATTTATAGAACTATATAGGATATTGGCCAATAGTTATATCATGGGAATAATTTTTTTCCAAATACTTGTGATTTTATTTGAAGCAGTTTATTGAAAGTGTATTTTATTCATATTAATACATTTTGTAGATTTATTTATTATACTATAAAAACAACATAATATATTAAATAAATACTTACAGCACAAATTTGTATATGTCATAATAATACTTTTTTCTCCATAAAGTACTCAAAAATAAATATTGAACACAATGCTGTTTCGCTATCCTTAAAACAAAAATTTTGCAATCATTTTAATAGAAAACATTTTCATTATAATATACATTTTGACTTTTTGCATGAGCACAATTACAACATAAATATAAAATATTAATATAAATGTGCCCATATTCTTGAGCTATTTAATATTTACATTTGATATGAATAAATTGGAATGTTTTATATCTGAGATAATTTACATTTTTACACACTTTGATAAATTTTGTAATAAATAGAAATTGCAGATGAATCACAACCGTCAGGATCAAATATATAATTTAATAATCCAATAATATTTATATTTATTTACACATGTAAAGTACCTTAAATTAAATCATTAGTTACGCGTACTGCATAGACGATGGTCTCGTTTTGAGGTAAACGTAGGTACAAATTAGTAAGAAAATAACTGCAAAAGTCGGCAAAACTATCGTATAAATTTGCTGGCGCATCTTTGCAAATTCTTGTTTCCTCTCTCGTTTCTGCTTTGCAGTTTCTTTTACCGCCCCTTTCAGCTTCCTCATTTTAACTAAAACAACAACAACATAATTGTAGTTCTTTCAACCCGTACGTTCTTTGAATTTATTCTATGTAGAGAAAAACTTTAAAATTAAAAGAATAAGGTAACTTTACCGGTAAATAAGTAATAAAAATTACAGACGGAGGATAAAACGCCTAATTTAATCGTTACTATCAAAGTTATAAAATATCAAGAAACGATTCCACTAGCACTTGATAATATGATAAAATCCACACGTATATATTCAGTAATCTATGATCAACACGTCGACGATATTGGACATATGCGCTAAACGTAAACTAAATAGACTTGTCAATTTGAAAGATGTCAAAAACAGAAGTGCCATTTTTTTTAAATTAATATTTTTGGCTTGGATGCTTATCCTTTAAGCTATGTCTTCATTTCGTTCGATATCTTCGTTTTTATTGATTTTTTTCTTCATAATATGCTGATGCGTCATATTGCGAAGTTTAGGGGAGATTTTGACGATAGCTCAATCCAACGGACTGTCGAAGATGACAGTAAGTTAATAAGGCACCTAAGCGATCAATATGACTTGGTGTTTAATCAACACCAAGTTATTAGAAATGCTTCGAGCACTTGTTTCGTCGTTTTCTCTAATAGTTCACAGGCGCAGATACTTAATACACAAAATCGCATCACTTTAACGTATCAAAATCCACTTCGAACCATTATTTAACAATAAAACAGGTCTAACAATCCGCTAACGGCCAAGTTCCCGTGAAAACCCAGAAGTGCTAAGTGTATTAGTTTCAAAGATATACATGGGTTTGCCATCATTCAAATGTCTAGGCCACACACGTTCAGATATTTAGGATACATATTAGACAGGCACGTGGTAGATGGAAGAACGGAGGATTAAGTCATTAATATATATAGATTTAAGCGCTTTATTTACGATCCATTCTAGCTATAAATCCACTCAAGGCCGCTGTGCTGGATGAAGAATACACACTATAATTATATGAACGCTGAATGTGCGCATTAAATAATATCATGCGCACATTCAGCGTACTAGATGTAATCGAACGAATTAAATGAGATGATAGGTATTAAGAAGAAGAGAACATGGACTAAACGAAGATCATGTGTAATGTCCACGTCTATGCCAGTAGTGTTAGGTAAACATACTCATCAACAACTTGGACCATAGTGGTCGAAGTTATCGATGAGTATGTTTACCTTGGACAAATTGTCTAACTTTGATAAGTCCAACTTCGTTTAAGAGGTCAATCTGCTATTCAACTCAGCTGAGCAACGTTCGGGAGATTAGGACACATTTTCTAGACACGTTCACCTCAAAATTTGAAAACAAAATCGTACAATTAGTACGTTTTGCCAGTAATTATATGTGGGACGTAGTTATACACTACTGGTGTATACGTATTAGGAAGCTCAAAGTCGCTCAGCGTGCTATAAAGAGGGCTAAGCTCGGAGTTTCGCTACATGATAAACTTGGAAACTAAGATATCGTAATAGAACTAGAGTAACCGAGATAGCCCAACAGATCTTGGGCTTGTAGAAAAAATATCGATATTTTTGACGATATATATTATTTCGATACATCAATATAAAATATCAAGTACAATACGGCCGACGTATCTTGGCGAGTCCGACCTTCGCGCAGAAGGTTGCGCAATAGCTTTTTTAAGGAACAAAATGGTGGCATGAGGCGACGTACGGGAGGCGGTGGTCTAGGCTAGAGATTGACCATAAGTAAACACAATCGACCCTTTAGTCATAAAATATCGCAATCGATTAGTTTTATTTAGAAGTTATTGATTTTTGTTTATATAAGATATTAAACGAAATAGATTTACAAATATAGTGAATTTTATTGATAATAAACAAGATTTCGACTTAAATAAAAAAAAAACTAAAAACATATTATTTTCTCAGCTGAAAGACATAATGTACTTAAATATCAATTATCTATTAACGTCTTCTTGAGTAACGACTATTTGAGAAAATTTAGAACCTCCTTATAAATTGCAAATAAATATATTTTTATGTCTTAATTTTAATCGATTTGAATAAAAATCGATTAAACAACACCCTCAGGCACGCGTGTTGGACATCCCTTTCTGGTTACTTCGTAAAGCTTCGTGCTTATTCGGCAATGCTCGGTACACGGTAATATTTCTCAGTCACACGTTAGCATTGGTGTCGTGTTCGTGTCGCTATCTCTGTCTTGAGCACAGTCGGTTACAAAAGTTTTCGTTGTTATTGTTGTTTGTTTTTATTAATAGTGTTAAGTTTGTTTTGTTTGTTTTATTTGTTTTATTTGCAAGTGTCAGTTAGCACTTATATTATTCGCCAAACATGCCACCAAAACATAACAGTGTGTTAAATCGCCAGGCGAGAAAAATTATTTACGATTTAACGCAATATATGAAAAAAGAAAAAGAAGAAGGCGTAAAAGATGTCGATAAAGTTTATTTAAGAGTTGCTAACGCAACTGGTGTGTCCCAACGCACAGTACAGCGGATCGCAACTGAAGGCAATATTTCGGGCTTACTTTCAGTATTCCGCACGCCTGGTAAAAAAAGGTCTAGATCAAAACCTATTACTGATATGGATAATTTTGACCAGGGAGTAGTAAAAAGATGCATACACAACTTCCACAAAACTGAAAAAGAAATGCCGACGATAAACAAATTACTAGCGAAACTCAAACGGGATATAAATTTTCAAGGTGGTAAAACGAGCTTAAAGACAATTATCAAAAACTTGGGTTTCAAGTGGCGAAAGACCGAAACCAATAGAATGGTTCTTATAGAGAAGACCGACATTCGCCTGAAAAGGATCTTGTACTTGAAGGCAATGAAAAAATACAGGGACGAAGGGCGACCAATTGTATTCACTGACGAGTCGTATGCCCACTCATCACATACAAAAGGTAAGGCGTGGTCAGATGGTTCCGCTCAAGGACTAAAGCGCCCGATATCAAAAGGTCAGCGGATAGTGATGGTACACGCTGGGTCAGAAGCAGGGTTTGTTCCGAACGCGCTACTAATGTTCAAATCTGGCAGCAAAACCGGAGACTATCATGATGACATGAATTTCAAAAATTATGAGAAATGGTTACGGACCCAACTGATTCCAAATTTGAGCCCTAACTCGGTGGTGGTTATCGATAATGCTCCGTACCACAACAAATTAATGGATCCTGCCCCTACATCTAATGACAAGAAGGCAAAAATGGAATCGTGGTTATTAGAAAAGGGTATACCATATGAAAAGGACATGCGTAAACCACAACTTTACGATCTAATAAAAAAAAACAAAGACGTGAATAAAAAATACGTAATAGATGAAATGTTTAAACAAAACAACCACGATGTCCTTCGTTTACCCCCATATCATCCCGATTTAAACCCCATCGAGATGGTGTGGGCTGCCATTAAAGGGCACGTAGCCGCTAAAAACGTCGACTGGAACGTAACCCGGACAATGGAGCTCATACAAGAAAAAGTAAATTTAATGGGTCAGAATGAATGGAGTGCTTTATGCAGAAAAGTGCAAGAGGTCGAACATGACTATAGGAAGAGCGACCATATTATTGACGAAATGACGGATCAATTATTCATCATTAATACAGCTTCAGATTCAGAAAGTGAGTCTGAAAGTGAGAGCGACGATTACGAAGATGAACCTATGCCAAGTACCTCACATGGTACACAAGGGGCCGACGACTTTATGTTAGGAATTTCCCCCCTCAGCGACAGTGATTAAATAATAATAAGTGTAAATAAATAAAAAGTATTAAATGTAAATAATATTGTATGTGTTTGTGATAAAATCTGCCCCTATCGAAAGGTGAGGTATCAAAATTGAATCTTTAATTTATAATGTCTCCAAAGTGTTTTGATATTTTTGGTCACTGTATTAGGGAAATTTTATTTGTACATTGGTATATATAAAAAAATGACAATAACAGTTTTCTTCACGAGTGTTCATGCGCTAAACTTCGCAGAGCCTATATTCAGACTCGCCAAGATACGTCGGCCGTATTGTACCAAAAGCAACACCGTTGTCGCTAGAGATGGGTCGTACTTGCAAAATCGAGTACCAGGGCTTGCAAGTACGTCCACCTTCAAACACCAGCGCCAAAAACCAGGGCTTGAGATAGTTTCAAGTATTTTCCTTCGGCATCGAAAATTGATCCGTAAGAATATATAAACAAGGAGTGCAATCGCATATTATGCTAAAATACTAAGTAAACTTTGAAGCCTTGATGAAACAAAAATACTTGCATATAATATTGATCTGTAACTATATACAAATAAAGAGCACAATCACGTTTACAAAAAAAAAATACTTCCAAACCTTTATAAGTTCCAACTTTCAAGACTTTTTGTAAGAAAAATACTTACATAGAACATTGATCCGTAACCGTATACAAATAAAGAGCGTCATCGCGTTTACGAAAAAAATACTTCCAAACCTGTAAAAGTTCCAACTTTCAAGACTTATAAGAAAAATAATTGCATAGAATATTGATCTTTAACTATATACGTATAAAGAGCACAATCGCGTTTAAAAAAAATACGTGTGGCACTCGGTGACTGCCGCGGTAAAGCTATTGCATAGCATTTTTTATCAACTTATGCAATTGTAATTATTTATTTATTTTATTTATGCAGTTAAGTCTTTGATATTAAATCAAGTTACACTTTTTGAGCGTGGTGACCGATAAGAAAACAATTTTTTTTCTCTTATTGAATAAATGAGAAGTTAATATTGTTTAAAATATTTTTAATATCTTACAATACATGTAGGTTATTCAGGAATTTTTATCAATGAGTTAGCAGCTAGTGTACACGCATACGTCTAGTCGCACGCACACAAACACCGTGCCGAAGTCTGCCGAGTGCCGAAGTCTGCCGAACTGAAACGACGTTAGACGATGCACGGCTTTCAACGCCACACCTCCGTGCCCGTCGGAGTGGGGAGCGTGAGGTTTTTTTTCGTTACGGAATTTCTGGATTCGGTCCCCGCGCTCAAGGCCCGCGATAGAAGCTATGCAATAGCTTAAAAATACTTCCAATCCTTTAAAGTAAATATACCTTGATAGAACATTTATCCGTAACACAATATAAATAATGAGCAGAATCGCGTAGAATGTCGACAG